TTATGCCTCAAAAGTGGAGAAAGACAAACTCGATCTGTTGCCAGTAGACCTGACTTGAAAGACGTTAAAAGAATTCAGAAGAGGCCAAAATTCAGATATATGACAGCATTAGAAAGTGAGAATCTAATAGAATAGACTGTTCAAAACATTTGACAACTCTAACTTATCAGTGAAATGAATGACAGGAATGAGACAGGAGGGAATAATCAGAAGCACACTACCCATGAAGTAGTGTGATGCTCCTTAAGAGTGGGATCTGTTAAATGCATACTGCAATCACGAGCAACCACTAAGATCAGAAATATAGCATACTAAGAATGCAATAGTATAGGATGTTCACCCAAAACCAGGGAAGGAAGAGTGGAATATAAAAATGAAAGAAAGGCAACCAATTAGTACAAAACAGTACTGATGATCAATTTATCACTTACCTTAAATGGCAATTGTCTAAAAAAAGACTGTCAAAGTGGATCAAAAAGACAACCCTATGTCAGTAATAAAAAGAAAACACACAACAACTAAATTTGAATATATGGTTCAAACACTAAGGGACGAGGAGAGACCCATGTTAACACTAATCAGAAGTGAACTTTAAAAGTAGCTGTACTCACGCAAAGTCGACTGTAGAGCTGGAAAAAACTCAAAAGGGGGCATTGCATAACAAAGGAGTCAATTTTTTAAAGACTAACGAATCATTAATGTGCATGTGCCTAACAGAGCATCATAATGCAAGAAGCATCAAAACGCAAGGTGCAAAAGCCAATAGAAATGCAAGGAAAAATGGATTTCTCTGCTATTTGGAGACTTCAGCATCCCTGTGTGGGTAACTGACAGATCCAGCAGGCAGAAAATCAGTAAGGACACAGTTGAGTTGAACAGCTTTGTCAGTCAACTGAACCCAGTTGACATCTATAAAATACCTAATCCGACACCACCAGAATACACTCTTTCAAGCTCATGCACAGCATTAAGGCTACATTCAGGGTTTAAAAAAAAAAAAAACCTTAACAAATTTAAGATAGAAATTATACAAAGTGTGCTCTCAGCACAATGGAATTAAAGGAAATAGCAATCAACAAAAAGCTGGAGGACATCAGTACTTGCAGATTAAACACTTCTAAACAGATGCGTCAAAGACGATTTTTAAATTTCAAACTAAATTAAAATACAGCTTAACAAAATTTGTGGAATAGAGCAAAAGCAGTGCTTAGAGCGAAATGTACAGTATTGTATGCATATTATTAAAGGTCTAAAACCTCCCATTTTACCTTTTACTGAGTTTCTTGCTAAGCAGTGCTTATAGAGGATACCCATTTTTATGGCAGTTGTTTGCCAAGAGTATCTTTATCTTCTTAACATTTTTTGATTTATAATCATTTTACAATGTTGTATCAAATTCCAGTGTAGAGCACAATTTTTCAGTTATACATGAACATATATATATAGTCACATTTTTTCTCTGAGCTACCATAAGATCTTGTATATATTTCCC